AGAGAGGAAAGGGGGGGGGGGGCAGAGACAGAGAGAGAGAAAAAGAGAGAGAGACAGAGGGAGGAAGTAAAAGTGACAACTGCACCAAAAAACCTGACAACACAAAACACTCAGACTCAACAAAACCTGTAACTTCATTTCTTTCCTCCGCTTAGTGTACAAATATTGAGTCTCTTTTTTTGCTCCTTTTTTGGTCTCCACCACCTCCTGATGGAAATATTTTAATCTGCTAAATGTGCTTGGCTAGCTCAGGCCTGATTGGCCACAGACTGTTTCTGTGTCTGTACCTTTAAATATGTAAATGAGCTGTGTCTGACCACACCCCCTCTCTGGAAGGGCTCGGGTGTACTCGGTCTTTCTCTCTCCATGTCCTGTTGTTTACGGTGAGAAGGCAGACTCATAGGGCAGAACAAACACCTAGCTGTGGGAGTGTCACCCACCTGGGGGAGGGGCTACTGCCCTTTGTGATGTCATGAAGGGAAAACCTCAAAAAACGGCCTGTTTGAGTACACATTTTCTAAAAAGTGGAGCAGGCAGAAGACGGAGAGGATGGACTTATCTTTTCAAAGTGTATTTATTTGTAGTTCAAAGTGTATTTTTCATGATGTGACTTTTTACATTTTTGCCCCTTTTCTCCCTCAGTTCACCGCGACTGCCACAAGTAAGAACGACACCTTCCTCCAGTTCTCCTCCCCCCCGTGGACTGAGTAAGACAGCCAGTCCTGAGGACGCTGCTCCACTGGACAACGTGGAGGAGAGCTGAAGCACTTCAACTACCACCCGAACCCCTCCTTCAACAATCTCACCAAGAACATCATCACAGAGACAGCGTCATCATCGTCACCGTGAGGAGGACGCACGATCAAAACACTCAATGTCACTCTTTATACGTCTCTACCCCCCCTCCCCTGAGTTAACTTTCCTGATGTTTCCTCTGTGTGCGTCAGGGTCGAGGTTTCTCCAAGGCCATGACAGCCAAAGAGGCGCAGGCGTTTGTCGGGGATGCATCGTGTCACGTTAACATCCTGCAGGTAAATCCAGGTTTTTACCTTTAAACGCTCTGCCAAAGAAAGGCGTCTGATCCAACCTTCACAACAGGGTCCTAAAACGCTGACTAGACTCTTCTCCTCTGTCGCCCCGTGGTGGAATGAACTTCCAAACTCCATGATCTGCAGAGTCCCTCTGCACTTTAAGAAAAAGCTAAAGACCCAGCTCTTTCATGAATACCTACTAACTTAATGATGATGGTCTCCATATTATTGATGATGATGATGGTAATGATGATGGTTTTTGTTTGATAACGACGACTTATAAGATGGTTTCTATACTGATTAGAGCTCTCAAGAACTGCCCTCAATGTTGTGCTTTGCCTCTGGTCACTTCCTGTCAGCACCTGTGTGTCCAATCAGACTCAAAGCTGATCGTTTGCTCTTACTGACATTGTTCCCTTTTTTCTAGATCCTTGCTTGTGTTGTTCTTACTCTCTGATGTACGTCGCTTTGGATAAAAGCGTCTGCTAAGTGAATTGTAGAATTGTAATTGTAGAATTTTTCTTCTGTCGTCCAGGATGATAAGTTGATCCTGGAGGCTCCTTCAACTCAGCCCAAAGCCAAAACCAAACCCAAAACCAAACGGCAGCGTAGAGACACGGCCAACGAACCGCTGGAGCTGGTGGTAAACACACCGCCGACCAATGTTTACACGCTTTACATGAACAACCTCCAAACATGTCCTTAATGTTGTCTCATAGGGAGATGACTCTAGAGAGTGTAAAGTCTGAGTCTCTCTGCAGGTTCAGTTTGGTAACGGCGAGTGGATCGTGGGCTCGGTGTATTACGCCACCAAAGACGACATCCCTCTGGCTATAATCATCCCTGCGGTGATCGTACCTATGCTGCTCTTCATCGCCATCTCCGTCTACTGCTACAGGTGTGAACACAACGCCCAGAGAGATCTATGAGCGGGAAGAAACAGCCGTTCTGTAAGTGTAAATATATCCCTGTGTGTGTGCTAACAGGAGGAAGAGTCAGCAGGCAGAGCGAGAGTACGAGAAGGTGAAACACCAGCTGGAGAATCTGGAGGAGAGCGTCCGAGATCGCTGCAAGAAAGAGTTCACAGGTAAACAGAGAGTCACCTGACAGCTGAGGAGTTACAGGAATAAAGTCAAAAAAAGTGATACACCAAATAAAGTCTAAAGGAATCCATTTTTTAAAAAGGTCAGTTGGGCGCTTGTGGCCCAGTGGTTAGTGCGCGCGTCCCATATAGACATTGAAGTCGGTCGATTCAAAAATATTCCAGTAGAAAACAGACTGTGTGAGATGTGTGAGTTGGACGAAGTTGAAACGGAGTCCCATTTTCTTTTTGCATTGTAGAAAAATCTGATGATTTAAGAGAATTATTGTTTCCTGAAGTAAAATCTGAAATATTGGGGCGGACAGATGTGCAGAAACTGGAATGGGCTGTTTAAGTTTGATGTGTTTAAACTTTGCTAATTTTGCTTCAAAAGCTTGGAAAAGAAGACAGGATCTTCTGTTTGATTAGTTTGACTTCTTGATTTCTCTTTTTGTTTCTTGAGAATGAATCTAGCTTAGAGCCTAGTGCACTCTGATCCGGGAACGTTTTTAATTTATAGTGTCATGTAATGGATGTATATATGACACAATAATAAAATAAAAAACTAAATTAAATTATATGGAGGCTGTAGTCCTCAAAGCAGGCGGCCCAGGTTTGAGTCCAGCCTGTGGATCCTTTCCCCGCATGTCGATCCCCACTCTCTCTCTCTCACTGATTTCCGTCTCTGTCCACTGTCCTGTCTCTCCATTAAAGGCACAAAAAGCCCCAAAAATTAATCTTTAAAAAAATAAAAGGCCCGTTTAGACTTTTAGGGCACCCAGTTGCTCTTTACTGTTCTGAATCACGATTGCCCCCCTTTCATATTGGAAGAAGGGATCGATAAAAGTTGCATTCAGGTGCTTGTGCCCGTGCCGACGCAAACCTCTTCCAAGCGTGCCAAATCAAGGAGGTGTACCTCGCTTGAGCACAGATAGGAGCACTCACACTGGTCAAACTAACTGGACTTTAAGGGTGAAGCATTCTTCGGCAAGGTTTTTGGTTTGGCACCTGGGGTGGCCAATAAGATGTCAAGGGGGGGGCCCTTGCTGCCCCTCTGGACACGCCCCTGCTGGCATCCAAGGCCAAGCAGCAGACGCAGCCGAATTCCTGTCGGCGTCTTGTTATGAGTAGCGTTCACAGATTTTAAAAAGGAACGTGGACGCTCCTGACAGTTTAATCTCCATAATGTGAGCACTGCCAAGAAAAGATTCAGCAGAAAAAAGCAGCACTTTGGCTCCGACTTCAGAAATGTCCCTGCAGGACTTGTTGGCGGGCTCTGTGGACCGTTTTTTTCTGTTTCTGACAGAATCTGTTAATGAGCTTTCAGGGAGGTCAGCAGACTTTATAAAAGAGTGTGAATACTTCATCAATCGCAGCTTTAAAGAAAAAAATTTAAAATTACCAGAAATAGAGAAGTGGATATTTAAATGTATTCTGTGTTTCTGTCAGATCTGATGATAGAAATGGAGGACCACACCAGCGATGTGAGCGAGGCCCGGATCCCCTTCCTGGACTATAAAACCTACACCGACAGAAACTTCTTCCTGCCCTCGAAGGACGGTGCCAACGACGGCATGATAACCAGAAAACTACAAATCCCAGAAGCCCGCAAGGCCATCGTGGCCCAGGCGCTTAACCAGTTCTCTAACCTGCTGAACAGCAAAACTTTCCTCATCAATGTGAGTCTGGAGCTCTGTCACGGGTTTGAGAAAACTCTCCTCTTAAACATATCACCTCAGAGTTTGAATTCCTGGTGATGTTCATTTCTTTCAGCTGTCTGAAAGCGGGAGAAACTTTTTAGGCTTCAGTGGTTTTAACAAGTTTGGATAAAAAAAGAGCGACAGAAAACCTTTCAAGACCAAACATGCATTCTTTTTTTTTTTTAAAAGAAGGACTCAATCAAACGGGAAGTGGAGGATAATAAGACATGATTCAAAATGCAGCCGAGCGCGGAGAACGGCAAAACATTCAGCTGCTGCATTTTCTATTGGTCCGTTGTTTTTCCCCTCTGCACCATCAGAGCACAGAGATCAGAGCACAGAGGAGCAGATTACTGATTATAATCACTCGTTAAATACGCAGCAGATTCCTCGCTCCATTTATAAACATTCCTTGTTGTGATGTAAACAAGGAACTTTATCTTGACTGTTTCTAAAATCCATCATGTTTTTGTTTTCCTCCTCCAGTTCATCCGCACGTTGGAGAGCCGTCCAGACTTCAACGCCCGGGCTCGTGGTTATTTCGCCTCCCTCCTGACGGTGGCGCTGCACGGTAAGCTGGAGTATTACACGGACATCATGAGGACGCTGCTGCTGGAGCTGATGGACGAGCACGTGCAGAACAAAAACCCCAAACTCATGCTGAGGAGGTGAGGAGCAGCGATGAAAAACGTTGAACATTTTTGTGAAAAAAATTTGGCTTCAAAAAAGTTGAAAATTTTCGTGAAAAATTTCAGCTTCAAAAAAGTCCTTTGAGCAGACGATGGTATTTGAGCAGTGAGGCAAAAGCGTGCAGGCACAGATTTAGACCATATGTAAAAAAAAAAATGTAATGATGTCATAGACAAATATATTTGATGATGAGACAGAAGATGAAAATCTGGACTTTCAGCTGCAGGAAGAATAACGGCTGTACAGAACCCTGCAGCTTCCAACAGGAAGATTGTTTTCAAAGAGTTTAAAGACTTTTTTTTTTTAACAATCACAAACAGTATGAAGCCACAGATGTTCTCAACACGTCCTGTGCACAGTCGTGATGATGTTCCTCTCTCGTCTGGTTTGTGCAGGTCGGAGACGGTGGTGGAGAGGATGCTCTGTAATTGGATGTCCATCTGTCTCTATCAGTTCCTTCGGGTAACACTCATTCTCTCACTTGTTCTCTCTGTTGTGTTTTCACTTTGACTTCGATCTGTTTCTCTTCTTCTCTTGTTTCTGTCCTTTGTAATAGACTGCAGGAGACTTTTCCTCTCTTTTCTTTCTGAAAACTGTTTTCTGTATTTTTTAAGCTCGTCTGTGTTTTTTCTTTTTTGGCCAATTTGAAAATTTTTCTAAAGTTGATTGTGACAGGAGGAGCTGATGTTCAGTGTGTTTGTAATTCAACAACCTTCAACCACAGACACAAAGAGAGCGATGCTTCAGCTCCTGCTTTTAACAATATGGACATTTTATTTTTTACATTGAAATCTCAACAAAGTCTTTGAAGGTCGGAACATGTCAAAAACCTCTTCGACAACATTGAAATGAAAGATACTTAAACCCACACTCAGAATTTAAAGGTCATATATTATTCAAACTCCACTTCACCATGTTTCTCTAACTCTAACATGTGTCTCTAGTCCGTCTACAAACCCCTCAATGATGAGAAAAGTCCATCCTCTCTGTCTTCTGCCTGCTCCACTTTTCAGAAAATGTGTGCTCAAACAGGCCGTTTTGTAGATTTTCCCTTCATGACATCACAAAAGGCAGTAGCCCCTCCCCCAGGTGGGTGACACTCCCACAGCTAGGTGTTTGTTCTGCCCTCTGAGTCTGCCTTCTCACCGTAAACAATAGGACATGGAGCGAGAAAGCACCGAGTACACCCGAGCTCTTCCAGAGAGGGGGCGTGGTCAGACACAGCTCATTTACATATTTAAAGGTACAGACACAGCAACAGCCTGTTCTGAGCAGGGCTGAAATAGAGGGGTTTATAGACATGATCAAATACAGGATCAGAGTGGATTTAGAACAAGAAACTTCACACACATGTTTTGAGGAGCTCTGAGACTTATTTACACTGAAGAAGAGGAGGAGGATATGTGACCTTTAAACTTTTAATTTGTTCCTCTGTTGTTCTGTAAAGTGATGTTTGGTGTAAACGCTCACTGAGGTGTGCGTGTGTGTGTTCTTGATTTAGGACACAGCAGGAGAGCCTTTGTACAAACTCTTTAAGGCCTTGAAGCATCAGGTGGAGAAAGGTCCGGTCGATGCCAAGATGAAGAAAGCCAAATACACTCTGAACGACACGGGGCTGCTGGGAGACGACGTGGAGTACTCTGTGCTGGTGAGTACACACAGTGCACTCAGCAAATGTTGTCTCAAGGCGCTTTATTAAAGAGCAGGTAAAAGACCATACTCATGAAGTTAAGTGAGGACGGAGGTGGTGGTGGTGACATCACAGTCCGGACCAAAAGAAGACATCTGCAGACGTGTTTTGGGGCTCTATAGGAAACTTGGATCAGCAGTTTTAACTTGTTTTTAGACATTTCATTTTTAAAAAACTAAAAATATTCAGCAACCTGATCAATAATAAAAACAATTGTTAGCTGCAGCCGAGGTAAATACGCTTTCGCTTCAGAGTTAGGAGTCCGAGCACGCTGTCAGGATGTGTGTGTGTGGCTCACAGACATGTGTGTGTGTGGCTCACAGACGTGTGTGTGTGTGATGTCAGACTCTGCAGGTGTTGGTGCACGGAGAGGGACCAGATGTGACCCGGTGAAGGTGCTGAACTGTGACTCCATCACACAGGTGCGTTTAATTCCCTTTTTTTTTTTTTTTCACCTGCTCTGACATCAGGAGACAAAATCTGTTATCACGTCTGCTCTCTGGGTCGAGTGAGACTTTTCTCATTTTGGATTTCAGCCGACCTCCGACCAGGATTTTCTATCAAATACTCTTCTATTTTAAATACCTAACTTCCTGTGTCTCCAGGTGAAAGAGAAGATCATCGATCAGGTGTACAGAAATCTGCCGTACTCACAGAGACCAAAGGTGGAGAGTGTTGCACTGGGTGAGACACAAACACACATCACAAGTCAACAATTAACCTTCAGATGTGTAAACAAATAAATCATACAGTGGTTCACATGACCCCACTTTGACTTCACAAAGCTCTGGAGACCGCAGACATCCAAAACACGTCCAGCTTTCTGCTCATATTAATGTGTGTATACATTCATCTTGGATACATTTCATTTAGCCTTTTTGGTGTTTATTATTGTGGACAGAGGAAGACAGGCAGGGATGAAGTTTCTGCACAACGGAACGACAGACAGACGGACTCTGCAAGTTTGTTTTTTTTGGCATTAGCTATGGCCTACAGTAGACTGTTTACTTACTTTAATATACAATATATTTAGTATTGTGGAGGTCAGGACCCTGACCTAAAGCCTGCTCTAAAGACAATGATGCAAACCAGAGCCACAAAACCAGGAGTTTGTCTCCCCCTGCAGGTCTGTGAGTGAACTGAAGGGCTTCAGAACATTTGGTGGCAAGACAAGAAACCTAAATATTGGAACTTTTCTTTTCAAAAAAAGACGTTTATGAATTAAAACAAAGAAGAAAAAAAAAGCTCTCAAGGAGCTACACTGAAACATTTGTTCTACATCATGGAGAGCAGGTTGGTTCAAGTTGGCTCAGATCTCTTCACAATGCAGACCTGAGGACAGAAAAAAGACAAAACAAAGATAGCAAGAAAAACAGAATCAAAGAGAGGTTTTCTATTATTCCTCTCTTTCTCTCATGTTAATAAAAAAAAACATTTAAAGTACTTTTTTGGTGCAGCGGTGGCGTAGTGGTTATAGTGCGCGCCACATGTATGGAGGCTAAAGTCCTCCAGGCGGGCGGCTCCTGTGGCTCCTTTCCCGCATGTCATTCCCCACTCTTTCTCTCTCTCTCTCTCTCTCTCTCTCTTCCTTCCTGATCTCCGACTCTATCCACTGTCCTGTCTCTAAATAAAAGAACAAAAAGCCAAAAAATAAATCTTTAAAGTCAACTTCTCATCCCTGCACAGAATGGCGTCCTGGCTCCACCGGTCAGATCCTGTCCGACCTCGACCTGACGTCGCAGAAAGAAGGACGCTGGAAGAAACTGAACACTCTGGCTCATTACAACGTGAGTTTAGTTTGATAAAAAAAACATAAAAGATATCCCAATTGGGAAGCTTGGTCCAAAGGCAACTGGACTTCAATGAAGATCCACAGAGGCTTACATTTCTAGCTCCGCCCACCAGATAGTTTAGAGCTGAAGAAGGAGGAGAGGTGAAACGTCCTCAAGAACTTCAGCAAAGTCCAGTTGTCTTTGGATCGAATTTACTCCTCCTCCAGTCGTCCCCTCTGACATTTAAAGATAATTACAGACAAAGAAAGCGTCTCTAAGACAAAGTGCTCGGTGATAACTGAGGGCGTACTTCCCTTTAACAGAATCAAGATTAATCGTTTCATATTTTCTTGTGTTTTAAGGTCCGGGATAACGCCACGCTGGTTCTGTCCAGAGTTTTGCACACGCAGTCCTTCCACCAGCACCAAGACAGCTACGAAGAGAGTATGGACACACACACACACACACACACACACACACACACACACACACACACACACACACACGTACACGTACACACGTACACATAGCACTGAAGTTCAGTTTTTCCGCATATTTCAGAGCTTCTAACTTTCTGATTGAATTGTGCAGTAAAATCTTTGATGTCCAAAATGTCATGTTTAGATGTTTAAAGAGTGTTGTTTTCATCTTAAAGGTCACATATCCTCCTCCTCTTCATCCAGTTTAAATAAGTCTCAGAGCTCCTCAAAACATGTGTGTGAAGTGTCTATTTCTATTTCAGCCCTGCTCAGAACAGGCTGTTTCTGTGTCTGTACCTTTAAATATGTAAATGAGCTGTGTCTGACCACGCCCCCTCTCTGGAAGGACTTGGGTGTCTCGGTCTTTCTCGCTCCATGTCCTATTGTTTACGGTGAGAAGGCAGACTCAGAGGGCAGAACAAACACCTAGCTGTGGGAGTGTCACCCACCTGGGGGAGGGGCTACTGCCCTTTGTGATGTCATGAAGGGAAAATCTCCAAACGGCCTGTTTGAGCACACATTTTCTGAAAAGTGGAGCAGGTAAAAGACGGAGAGGATGGACTTTTCTCATCATTGGGGGGTTTGTAGACGGACTAGAGACACATGTTAGTGTTAGAGAAACATGGTGAAGAGGATTTTGAAAAATATGTGACCTTTAAAATCAGTGAAAACTTAGTTTAAAATTGCATATTTTTCCCTTTTTGTTGAACGAAATACATAAAAAGATCTTTGCAAAGTATTCAAGGTGACATCATTTAAAAAAAGTGTTTTCATTTCTGAACCTGTCCTTCTGTTTACGTTCATGCCTCAGATCCAGAGAATAAAGGTAATTGCATTTAGATTAAAGCAAAACATACAACAAAAGCAAATTACAAGACATTGTTGACATCTTCATGAACGTTTTATCATCTAACATAAAGTGTTTGTAGATTTCCATCTTTCCTTTTTGACAAATTATTGAATTAATGAAACCAAACATGGAATGAACGATTGATTTCTCTGGGTTTGAACATTTTTAAGAAGAACAAATATTGAAATTAAGTCGTTTTAACGCTGCAGTATTCCTCTCTTCTGACTGAACAAAGACGTTAAAAGCTGTGCAACTCTTCGTCTCCCTCGCACAGAAAACGCTCTGCTTGAGGACGATAACACCTTCCACCTGGTGAGGCCGACGGACGACATCGACGAGGTGAAGTCGAAGCGAGGCAGCATGAAGGACAAGGCGATGACCAAAGCCATCACAGAGATCTACCTGACCAGACTGCTCTCTGTCAAGGTACGGCTGCTAAATAAATATAAAGATATAAAAGCAGGATATTCATATATTTACTGGGCGGATAACATTTAAAAAACAGAAGCAAACAAAACGATGATTTCCTCGTTTAAAAGTGTACGATGTTCGTGTGTTTCAGGGTACGTTGCAGCAGTTTGTGGACGATTTCTTCCGCAGCGTGTTGTGTTCGGGCTCCGTCGTTCCGCCCGCCGTCAAATACTTCTTTGACTTCTTGGACGAACAGGCGTTGAGACACGACAACGTGGATGAGGAGACGCTGCACATCTGGAAGACTAACAGGTGATTTGAGTTCTTTGCTAACGTTGTAGAAACTGGAACACATGAACACGTGTGAGAGTTCAACTTTTGGTCGTAAATATTTGACAGTTTCCAGACTTGTTTCTGTTGTTTCCTGAGTACGTAACCTGTATCTTCAAAAATGAATAAAAGTCAGTTGCTGTTGTGTTCTTGCCCTTCAAAGTAAGAGCTCAGTCTTGTTAGCCGACATGCTAATGTATGCAGCTAATGTAAGAGCAACTTAGCACAGCATTAAACCACTTCTTACACTTTTTGATTTTGATTTTCTTTTTTAATGCAAGACTAGGAATAAGTTGTTCATAAGTTGTTCTGACATTTTTTCCTTTGTTTTGTAGCTTGCCTTTGCGGTATTGGGTAAACATCCTGAGGAACCCTCACTTTATTTTCGACGTGCACGTAACGGAGGTGGTGGACGCTTCGCTGCACGTCATCTCTCAGACCTTCATGGACGCCTGCACCAAGACGGAGCACAAACTCAGCAGAGTCAGTTCACACAAATACAGATTATACCTACTGTTATAAATCTGATTTTTTATTAAACCTGGATTTATTATCTTTAGGGGAGTCGGGGTGATTTTACGATAAATTAGTGTAAAGTTGTACATTTTCACCACAATGCTACGCAGTAAAACACTGAGAAAAAACATAATTCATACGGCCTCCATAGGGTATGTTCATGTTAGTTAGAAGGAAAAAAACTCTTATGTTGATTGTTAAAATTTACAAAAAAGTTACAAATCAAACTCCTACCTAAACCGTAAAATCAAGAGGATAATTTTAACATAATAGTATGCTTCAGGCAGGGACTGGAAACCCCTTTTCTAAAAAATAGTCACAATTTTTTTATGCCAAATTACCTACAAATAGTTCCTGTTTGCAGTAAATCAATTGATGTATAGGATTATTTTAATACAAAGTAAATTGAGATAAATCTGGATTATTTTTGGGTGAGTTCATAAGGTGCTATAGTTTCCATAAGCAGATTTATGGTGTGTATTTAGGACGACGTGTCTCTGGGACACAGGAGGCTGAGGAGGAAGGCTGATTTCAAACTGGCTGCAGAGGAAGAGTTAATTACAACACTTAATCACAAAATAAAGTCTGTACAGTTTGAACTTCACAGACTGATGATAATTAACAATACAGGAGCAGTTGAGTGTTTCTTTTTGGAAATTAAGACAATCATTTATCCTTTTCTCTCTCGCTCTCTCTCTCTCAATGCAGGAGTCTCCAAGCAACAAGCTGCTCTATGCAAAAGAGATTTCAACGTATAAGAAGATGGTGGATGAGTGAGTCTGTGTACTAAATATATAGCATATTGAAAGAGTTTGTAAGAGTATGGGCAGAAAATCTGACTGTACACGTACCGTTTTATTACTTGATGGGATTTGAGGTTTTGATTGTGTGTGTTTTTCCCAGTTATTACAAGGGCATCCGACAAATGGTTCCAGTAAGTGACCAGGACATGAACACACACCTTGCTGAGGTGTCCAGGGTATGAATGACCTTCTTCTATATGTAACAGATAGATAGATAGATAGATGTGTTTTTAATATCTGAGGTTTTGTATAAATCTGTTTATGCAACATTTGTGTTCCCATTTTAGCAACACACAGAGAAGTTGAACACCCAGGTGGCCTTACATCAGCTGTACCAGTACGCCAGCAAGTACTACGATGTGGTAAGAAAAACTTCCAAACTCAGTGTTAAAGGAGCAATATGTAACTCTGACTACTAGTGTTTAAAATGGGTACTGCAGGCCAATTGAAAGCAGTGGAGAGAGCTGTCTCCCTCGCCCCCTCTCTCTAGAGTCGATGGTTGCCATGTTGCGGGCACTGAAGCTTCAGTGTTTAGCCAGCTCGGCATCGGTCTTTAAATCTTTCTGCATTCTAACCTCTCTCCATTTTTCAACACAATCAGTCCCGCTACGAAATGTTCTTGTCTTTATTACTAAATCAATTTCAAGAAATAATGGAGAGTAAATTTATTTTAGACATCAAAATCTGTATACAATCTTCCATACAGTACAAAAATAAGTGTTGTATTATCTTCTTCAGATCATCCAGTCGCTGGACGATGACCCAGCAGCCCAGAATAAACAGCTCACCCTGCGCCTGCAACAGATCGCCGCCGCCCTGGAGAACAAGGTCACTGACCTTTGACCTCTGACATCATGGAGGGGTCAGGGGGGAGGAGCTTTTGGCTACTGAAACACAGGATGTTGTTTTCCATTCAAAGACTCAGAGGAGGAAGAGCTCATGGACTCTGCTGAAAGTTTGACGATGTAGGGATGTAAGTGGGAGGAGCTAGCGGAGCCACAGGAAACTGTTGACCACATAAGGACTGCAGGGGGAGGAGTTTTTGGACTTGAAGAAATGAAGTGTTAAAATATACTTAGCGTGGTGGAAGCGCTTGTATGGCTTACTTCCACTTTGCATCCCAAAACAAATACCGAGGAGGGATGCAAAATGGTGACCATTAAATGGCTGCAAATGGGAGCTCTGTGAAAACAAAGGGTTATTTTTTAATCGAAGCTCGGGCTTTAGGTTTGTCAAATCCTCATTCCTAGCTGTTTCTGTGTTTGGCCTCTGTATACTGCAAATTTTAAGTTTAAAGATCCAAGGACTGAAGAAAAAAAGGGCCACACGAGAAATGAAGATTTTTGGATAGTTGAAGAGTATACGTGAAGTAATGAGACGTTCCTAAATGTTTTTCTCTTTGTCACTCAAAATCTTTCTGGAAGTCCAAATTGGAGGTACAGCTTCTCCAGGACGCTTTGCGACCACTTCTTCCACATTGTGTTACAACAAAGTCTATGAACTAATAACGTAAGGCTAATTTGCCTCATCTGAGGTCAGTGTTTCTCCAGAATATCGCATCTTTTTAGAACAAGTACAGAACGCAGAGAATCCCACAGCATGAGGTTGGATGTAATTTGACCTCCAATAATCGACCAATGATAACCCACTATACGGTACACGCCACTGGCCCATCAGGGGTCCTGGTTTATCATGACGGCACAACTAAGGAGAGTGAATTCAGGGTACGGAGTCTACAAATCATGGCCAAATGTTGTTTTTCATATCAGATTGTCTTTCTACGCTGATGACACTGTGTAGTTTGTTTCATATTCGCTATGTGCAGGCTTTACGCAGAGGCTTTGCATTTAAAATCACAACATGAAATTCATCTTTTTATTGGACTGATACAGTGCCACTTAGTTTTTTTATTTCTGTAAAGTGTTGATCACGGTTGTCCATGATGTCATATCCTGTGTGTGTGTAAGTGCGAGTGTGTGTTAATGATACAGCTTAATTACCAGCTTGTTTTTACTTGGTGGCCTACTATCATGAGGTCTGCAGACACTAAAGTGTTTTAGTTTTTGGTTTTATAACCGGTATGATTTTTAATTCTTTAGCAGTCATAAAACACATATTTCACTATCTTCATGAGGTCTGTTTTATCACATAGTAGCGGGTTTATTTCTGGCTTTGCTATGAAGCTGCGCAAACCCTGTCGAAGAAATCGATGTGAGGGAAAACTTGTGAATCGAAGTCCTGCAACAGTCTTTGGGTTTAAGTGCCGTTACACCACTGAAGTGTAATTTCTTTCCTCCTATGCTACATATTAATCATTGTCACCATAAAATAATCATATATTTACGTTATTCTTTGCCTTCTGAGCCCAGACGACGTGCTTTATGTAGAGCTTGAGTTGATATCAAAGATTAGATATACTCTTTTGCAAGTTGGAGGATTAAATCTCCTGGCCTTCTGGGAATGGGAGATTTCTGCTGCAGAAGCTTCTTTTTTGTTTGTCTGTTAAAAGATTTATCGATTCCTTCAAGTCTCACAAACTGCATCTTTAAATTCTGAAGCAATATGTCTTTAAAGGCCGGTGCTGTATCTTTGTACTTCTTGAACTTGTGAGGGCGTACTGCAAGGTTCTGACCAGAATTTGGTACCACTAAATCCCCAGATACAAAGACTGAAATAAACACATCTTAGCTGTTTTAATTTGTTTTTTTTTTCTAAGCCTTTTTTTTGGCATCTCTGTCATAAAATTTGTTCTGAAAGCCACTTTAGTGCCAAATAATGTTGAGAAACGATCCTGTGTGTTGTCATTTGAGTTGTATGTTTGAAGAGTTCAGAGATAAGATGAACAGTTTATTAGTATATTAAAACACCTGGTGGTACTTTTATTCAAGAATGGTTGGATTTTTTTTTTTTTTTTTTGAGGTTCTGATGCTCATAAATCAGAAGATGCTTTGCTTGCATTCACCAGCTTTCAAAGTAAACTGCTGAATCTGCTTTTGATGTTTGGACCTTCAAATGGAAAAATTATTGTCATATTGTGTTTCTGATGCAAAGCTCGAGTTTCTACTTACTCTACTTACTCATCTGTACAATATGATGCATTCGATTCAAATGGCTCTATCTCCAGTTCGTCTCCAACACTAGCTGCTTCCTGCCTTCTTTTTGCCACCATCGCAGTGCCTTAAAGAGTAGAACTGAAAGTACTGTAGTTTGGAAAGCATCAAACCAAAAAATAGTGATAATAATTATATATAAATTATAGATGAGTTCCTGCATGGTTGTGGTTTCTAAACTGGAAGGTCAAAATGGAAAACAAAAGTCAATGTCACAAAGTTTTGTTTTTTTATAGAAAGTGAAGTCTGTACTGTTTAATGTTTTTACAGCTTACAGAAAATAAATTTCCCCATAGCCGTGCAACGATCAAGATGGATCACCTAGCAGACATAACGATGAAGCTAACTTTCATTTAGCGGTCACCAACCATCAAATTATTCTTAATATATCGAATTCCATGTTTAAACCTAATGGATTTTAAGAGCACAGTACAATCCTGAGATCTAGCTCTATGACCTAGCTAATTATAGAGCAAGCTAATGTTTTGAGTTACAGACGTTAGCATAAGTCAGCACAAGAGTAAAATTTATGCTAATTTATGCTAACGTCTGTAACTCAAAACATTAGCTTGCTCAGTGCTTTCTCCTTTTCAACATTTAAATCCTTTCTTCTAGCAAGCATTTTTTTTTGGGAACTGCTAAATTCCACATCACCAGTGTTGAGAATTGTGTTTCCAAACCACTGACCTAGCACGCTAACGTACGAATCGCAGATGGTGGAAAGTTTTGTCGGGCACAGATCTGTCAGAAGTGTTGTTTTAACTGACGCACAGTTACGTTATCTGTATATTTCCCATTATCCAGAGAAGTTTATTAAATGTTTGGAGAATCGAACCTGCATATGTGAAGTTTAGACGAGTGGTTTTAAAGGTACAAGAAAGTTTAAATGTGTAATGATTGGATGTCGGATCAGCCGAGGGAACAACTTTCACTTTATGTAGATTTATTTGTTCGCTGTGTGTGTTTTAATGGTGTATTACTGAATACATTTGTTTTATGAGGCACAAGTACACAACATGTTTGAGAGGTTTTGACCAACACCACGAGGGTCAGATGGGACTTTATACCATTGTATAACAGTTTGTACATCAAATACAACTTTCCCATTGTTTACTCTTGTAACATCGTCGTAGGCAACAAGTGGTTTGAATCGACTGGACCAAGTGTGGACTTTTGACACGGACAAAAAACAGCACTACAAGGAACCAGGAAGCAACTGGTCTGAACTGGACTGGAGCCCAAATCGGTGACTCTTCTGAGGAAGTAGAGAAGTGGGCAAGACGTCCAGCTCTAGGAAGTCCAAATATCCAATAAAAAGATGTTTGTATAAAAATGAATCTTGTTTGCTTAATTTAGTTTTTTATCTTGTACTTTGATTAAAACTAAATGTCGTCTGAGAAATTTGATTGAAAGGCTTGAGAAGTGCTTAGTAAACCCTTTACGCTTAATAAAGGAAGATCAATATCACTCTTACATCTGTGGATTAAACAGGGAACTGAAGGTGGGAAGAATTAGCTTAGCTTAGCATAAAAACTGGACAAGGCTAAGAAAGCTTTTGCCCTATACTCCTAAAGTTAAATGTCACATATTCTGCAAAATCCCAAAAAGTCCTTCCTCTCCGTTTTTTGCCTACTCCAGTTTTCTTTTTTTCAAACTTTGACCTGAAGTGTTGTGTATTTGAGAAGAGAAGAGTTATTTGTGTTGGAAGTTTAACCGATATTCAATCAGTAAAACTAGAGTCGACCTGCAGGCGAAAAAAGAAGAATGAAGTCTTTGTGAGTTTGTTTTTCAGCAGCTCTCAGGTTTTTCCTCCTCGGGAGAGTTCAGATATTTTTAAACACACAAACCTCTTCACACTCACATCATTCATTCATTTGAAATTTCCTGCCAGCACAACCGCACACTGTTTGTGAACAAGGGCTGCTGGTGTAGCTTTATTGACACAGTGTTAAAGAAACACACACTCATGTAGCTCTAATAGTCAAAGGTTGAAGGGTGGCACCTTGGGAGGCCAATAAGATTTTCAGGGGGGGGCCCATGCCCGCCCCTCTGGACACGCCCCTGAGCTGAGGAAAGACTTGAAAGCTTCCTTTGAGAAAGAAATAAGTCTGGAGAGAAAGTTTAATCATTTTTTAATTTAGGTTACAATCTGCTCACATGTTGGCAATACAAAGCAACCAATAACAAAATATATGAAGGAATTACATGTTTTAAGACTCATGTAGCACCTTTAAATACACAACAGAGCTACACACTGATTGATGATCACCGCTTTGTGTCTCGTCCCTTTCCCCCAGATCCTCTTAATGCTGCGCTGTGATAACGTCAAGGAAGGTAAAAATCTGAAATCAGAGCTCCTAGTGCATGATGAGGACGCTCAATGATAATTATCAACATTTAAAAAAAATTACACAAAAACAAAAACGTCAAAGGAAATTTAAGGTAAAAATTAAATAAAGGAACTAAAAGCAGCCTGAAACTATAAACTGAAATGCTACAGACCTATAACTCTGAGATTTAATCACTAAAAAGAAAAACAGATTATGAAACTATTTTGTTGCCGTTTCTCTGATTTGATTTGTTGCAACAGTTTTGATAGCGATCCTTACCTTAAAAAGGAAACCACTCCCACTGAATGACTCAAAGGTCATCCAATCTGTCAACTCCAACATGCCACAAAAAGAAGAGCATTGTGGGTAGAACTAAAGCTGATTTCACCCGCCTATGAGAAAAGTTTTTTTTATCTGATGACAAAAAGATGCATTATTTTTTAAAGAGATGAGCTTCAGTTTCTGTTAAAACATAAAGATCATGGGGCACCGATAGTCTAGCTGTTAGTGTGCAGCCCATTTTAAAGACGCTCGAGAGAGAGGACGGCGCGAGTTTGAATCCGACCTGTGGCTCCTTTCCCGTATGTCGTTCCTAATTCTTTAGTCCTAACTCTTAAAGGAGTAAAAAGCCCCAAAATTTATCTAAAAAACAAACAAAACATGGGAACAGCGTCGCGAGCAGCTTCACAGGTCCTACACTTTTATTC